TTCTTCATTGATACCAATCGGGTAGGAATATCGATGGCTTTATGTACAACCAACTAGAAATTCAAAGGTATAGTARATTTAATAATTACATCAATAATCAAAAAATAGCTTGTACAATCTTGTTATGCTAACACGAGTGAATTAACAAATGCAAGAAAAGAAAATTGAATAAATTGAAAATACATCAACAAATCAATAAAAATTAATTAATTAACCATGTACTCTTTTCAAAATCTTTTCACACGATTCTCCCAAGGATGATGCTTGATGGGTTCAAACCATGAATCACCGTGCTCATTCTCCAAAATTCTATTTAATTCGTTTTCAACTTCTTCCACATCTCTTCTAAATTTGTCATGTTTGCATTTTGCCGTTGTAGTTTACGAGGATTCATCTTTGATTGGATTTCTCTATCCACAGATTCAATCTGCTTCATCAAACCTTGCCACTCAGCTATGGAAAGAATGAGGCTCTTGCTTGCTTCGGAACCTTGGCTTATTTTCAGAATTTCAACAGTTGCGGGTTCATTCTTGTTGTTGAGGACTATGACTTTTAAGACTCTCATGGTTGTAATGACTAAACCGACTGTTTTTCTTCAATTTATATAGAGAAGTTAAACTATTTTTATCCATGATGGTAGCAATAAACTATTATTTCAACACGCGCGCGACAGTTCTATTTTTAGAAATGATTCAATTTTTTTTTTCGCCTACCTTTTTTTAATGAAACTTTGGGGATCTTTTAAAAAAACTTTGGGAAAACAACGATAACGTCATCGGGTTTTTTTTAGAATAAACCTGCATTTTGTATGAGTATAAGTACAAGCTCGTACAAGAAGCTTACCACAAACAACTCATGTCAGGACAAGAAAAGGACAACAGCAATATATRCTATTATCATGTATTGAAACGATTCCTCTTTTGATGAATGCATTGGAGTGATTGCTGTCGAATTTGATTCCATATTCCACTGCAGCGTTGATGGGCTTGAAGGTAAACTTATTATCGTAGATTCTTGCCTTGAATCAACTTTCGTTGATGTTTGTATGCGAGATGGTAGCATTGATGAGCTTCAAGGCAAACTTTTTATTGTTGATTCTTGCGTTGAATAAACTATCGTTGATGTTTGTATGCGAGTTGGGCGTGCTGCACAGTCAGAGAGAATYTTCAATCTATTAACATTCTGTGAGTAGAGGCTCTTACACTCTAATGGGTTTTGTCGAAGATCCATCATCTTAAGCCTTGGTAGTCCTTTTTAAAGACTGTCTATGTCATCTAATTCTTTTAATCTTGTTTCTCTTCAGAGAGATAGAGGAGAAGGGAAGAGTCTTGTTTTGAACTGACTTGAAGGATGTTAATACTCGCAGGGAACAATCCACTAAATCAAGGTTTTCATAGCAAACACATACTCCATCCAATTGAGCGCAGTGATCCATTTGAGTAACTAACGAGACGAGGGCTAGAGCGACAATAGCAAGCATCGACATGGCTTCGTCGTGAGAGGTAAACTCAATGATAGACAAAGTCGCATGGAGAAAGACAGTATTATCATGGAAACCTATTAGAGTGTGTTAAGTAATCAATCCATTTGACATCACAAAGGCTCCCGTTATTCCCGACATTCCCGTTTTTCTCTTTAAAAATCATGCAATCGCGTTTTAAAAATAAACAAAACACATAGAAATTTATTTAAAGCATTGTTTCGTTTTTGACTATCTAGAATATATCTATATCGCAGTTGACATCCCGCTATTTACCTTGTCATGGCGTGTTGACTTGATATCTTTAATCAGAAACGGATATGAACTTACTCAATACCCTAATTATTTTAGTATTGATTTCAATATAGAGATTATATATTTGTTGAACCGTAATTTAGAAATAGTTAAAAAGTCATAAAAATGAGATGTATGTGTGATACCAACAGTTTTACTCAAATGAGTTGCCATGTTAAGAACTTGAAATTTACCTAGCATATAATTCTATACAAAAGCGAAAAGAAAAAAAATGGTTAGAACCATGTTAAGACGCAAAGATTGCCCTATTCCAGACTGTCATTCGAGAGGATTAATCAAACTATCTAATCATTTAGCGGAAGTACCCTTGTTATCGCCAGAGTTAAGAAAACCTTGGTTGCAGACAGCGAGACATAATAAAGTCTCACATACCAATGTTATCACACCACTTGTCAATCAACCTTCTACCGACAGGGATGTTCGGTTTAAATTTCCCTGTTCTATTGTGCTCTCTGGTGCATGCGGGTCTGGAAAAAGCACCTTTTGCGAAAGATTACTCAGAAATCTAGACAAGATGTTTGATCAGAAAATCGAGCGGATTTTTTATTGTTATGGAGAGTTTCAACCGCKCTTTCTTATCATGGAAAAAGAGATATTGAATTTAACGTTTGTCAAGGGATTTCCCGAAGATATCTACTCCCTCTTTTATAAAACCCCTGGGCTAATTATCATGGACGATCTGATGAGCGAATACTTGACTGATGATAGCATGAGGGACTTGATGACAAAGGGATCCCATCACCGAAACATCGCCTGGCAAATTAACAAATGCCACTTTCTTTTTGTTGCCTAGGTCAGTGCCATCGGCTTTGGCGATTTTCGAGGTGTCGAAAAATAAGGTTTGGATAAGTCAAGATAATTTTCCGATCCCACAATCTGATACTAGATTGGACTGAGATGGGCGGTTGGAAACATGGAAACATGTCTAATGTTGACTTAGACGTGAAAAGAGCAATCAGAGAGCTCAATGAATTGATAGTCACAAATAAAAAAGTCTTCGATGATGAGGTTGAATGAATCATTTATCATGAAAAATCATCCTTGGGAGGACCGAGTAGATGATTCATTCGGCTGGTGGGAAGAGAACTCACCCGAGAAGGAACAAGCCATCTCAGAAGGAGAAATTGATTGTTTAAGCACTATTACAGAAGTCGATGTAAGTGACCTATTTCAAATTTCCCCTCTTACAGATTTTAGGGATAAAAATGCCAATTTTCCCTTTGATCAATTTATGGCCAGTGCACAAGTTAGTGCTAGCGATGTATCGGAATACGGATTCCTCACAAATTTCATAAGTGATAATAACGTGTTTCCTTTTGACAACTTTATAGATAATAGGGAAATCGAAAAAAAGTTAGAGCATTACTCATTAAGTTTGAGAGAAAAACCCAAAAAAAAATTAGCAACAAGAAAAACAACGAATATATGATTGTATTAAAATAGATTANTTTTCGATTTAGGTAAACTGTTTCTACTGACGCTTGAGGGAGACCTTCAATAAAACTCTGCATCTGCAAGGACATTGGAATCTCCACAAGTTGTGACAACAGTGTTCCAAACTCTTCCATTAAATTCATATCCACTTCTTTCTTTACATCATCGTTAAAGCTGTCAAGGAATATGTACCACTCAGTTTTCATGCAAAAATCATGATCTGTTTGGCTTGGCCATTCGTTGACATACGCTTCACATGCAAAATTCTTGAATGCTGCTCTGAAGCTGAGTTCAGAGAATAAGAATCGCAATGCTTGCCTGACTTTAATTTGTCAAAAAAATTCGGCTTTATCAACCACTTAGTTGAGAGGTTTCTTTCCATCTTTCTGGTTGTTGTTGCTTTGACCAACATCGTTAAAAAACATCGTCAAAAAGCAACAGCACCCCCATTGTGACCAATGATGTCATTGAAACAAACGTTTAAGAAGAAGAAGAAGAAAAAGAGCAGTGTGTTTCACTTGAAAATGAGAAATCTCAAAGAAAGGAACTCCTACCAAAACCAAAATTATAATCAAATGGTAATGCGATACGTATGCCAGTGTTTATTCCACGAAAATATTGGAACAGCAGATGAAAAAAACTGTTGAGGAAATCCTACAAAATGGGGGAAATACAGAGAATCAGACGTTAGAGTACAGGGACACCATTGGATTTAAAGACGTTTATCGATACCTCCACTATTTAACTTTAAACGGTTTTGAAATTGGACTTTTAGAGCATAATATCATATGGGAAGTTCACAGCATACTAATGAAGCACCGAGGTCACTTATGCACTGTGGGACAATGCATTGTAAACGAAAGGGTAGTCGAGTTTGATGGGAAGATTCGCCGGTACCCTCCACCATGTAACATTGAATCGATTATGCAAATATTAATCGATGACTTCAACCGAAACTTGAATAAGATCAATTCACAATTCATCATCAATTCATCAATCGGAAATAAAACCACATTTGGGTCGATAAACTGTTCTATCCAATCATCATCACCATCATCAGTATTACTTTCTTCCATGATTCCTTGTAAAACTAATTTTCAGAATAAAAACCTCAAATTTATATCCAAAGAAACCTAAATTAGTACATGACGTCAGCCGTCTCCAAAACTTTGGAGCTATAAGCAAGTAAAGGGACACGTGTGACACGTGTTAAGAGAGTCCCAATCTTGATAATTCATCATCTCTAAAAATAAAACACACCTCCATAAAAAAGACGAACACTGCTCAGAGCTTCATTATGCAATCGAAATGAAAGCTATGGAAGTAAAAGTAGTCTGCAACAAGAATGATGAAAAGAATCCCTTTGTGAAAATTCGAAAGTTAGATGTTGTGCCAGAAGAAAAAGTCCTCCTCACCTTGCAAGAGTGGGAGGGTCTCAAAACCAAAATAACATMCATTGACAAGGAAATAAAACAGAAATCCAAACAACCAAAATTGCAACGTCAAAATGGTAATATGAATAGTGTTGATTTAGATGTAGTGAGAGCAATACAAGAGCTGAATGAACTAATTGACGCAAACAAACAAGCCTTTAATGATGATGATTTTTCATCAGTTAAAGATAGCATGTCAACTCATCCATGGCAAGAAAAGCTAGCCAATATTGAATCCAACAACTGGTATGATGAAGATTCAGAAGGAAGCGAGCAAGAAATCGATCAACTAAGTACCATAGCACAAGTTGATGTAAGTGATTTGTTTCAGTTAACACCACCACTCATAGATTTCACAAATGTCAATGCAATGTTTAACATTAGTCAACAAGTGGACAAATAGCTGAAGGTGATGCAGTGGATTTTGCAACACAGACAAATTTCCTCAACGATAATGCTATCTTTCCTTTTGACCATTATATAGACAATCAAGAATATGAAAAAAGAGTGTAGAAGAGAGATATCAAATTGAAAGAAACAACAAAAATGAAAATAGACTAGATAAAAAATACATCCTACATCAACCATATCAAAGAATTGGCCCACAAAGTTGTCCCTCGTTGAGCATATATGATAATCTTACCTTGTTGTTTCCACATATGGCATGGATTCTTTGATATGATATCAATTTAAAAAATATATATATGAGAGGTTTCAGCTGAAAAAGGGTCTTATTCATAAATATTTTGCTTTGGACTACATGTAAAACTGTTGCGTCATCAAAGGGGTCTTAATCTTTAAGACCCTTTTTAAGTTGCAACCCCTCATATAATTATTAAATAATCACATAGAAATGAAGTATATCTGTATTACATCTAACCTCAACATTGCAATAAAAGTTGACTCGAAGCATGCTTATTTGAAATTATTTATTTTGCTTTAATGAACAGGATAGGCTGTAATCAAGTTCATCTCTAAATCTGTGACGACTTTAATTCGATGACAGGGGAGGCCATCCTTCCCGTGAACACCAATCGCCCTTCGCCGTCTGTGGCTTGTAAAATTCAGACTAATAGTAAAAGCACATAAAACATTGATACACAATTTTCAAAAATGGCGCGCAAACTGGCAAACAATGAACAAAATCTCTGCGAATGAATCAAGCACTCACCGATCTTTATAAATGGGATCTTTTTCACCCCTTTTTCACCCCATTTCCAACCGTCTCAATAATCATATCTTGAATGATGTCTCTGCTGTTGGTGTAAAAACGACTTTATTTCGGTTTTGGGAAGCCCGTGTGATCTTCAATGATATGATCCATGTTGATCATATCATTGAATGAATAACAACTTGTTTTTTTTCCAAATCCATCTGCTCATCCTCGAAAGAATGCTCCTACTCGAAATAGGAAGTTAAAAGCTTTTTTTTAATAAACTTTTTATTGATTAACATATTATACAAATTACATATTACAATAAATATTGCAAAATTTTACTAATATGAGAGTAACTATATATTGATATATAACAGCACAAAAAGAGACACTGAATATAAAAACAACAAAACAACAACAACAAAAACAAAAACATCAATCATACAAATGGCAAACACCCTTTTCATAACGATTACTCATTATTTATGCAAAATCTTTAAATAGAACTGAACAACTTTTTCCATTTTTTGTAATGGAAGTCTAATTTTTCTTTGTTCAGAGCAATTGAATACTTTATTTTTTTATAAAATTTTAATAGCATTTTAAAAGATTCTAGGGAGGGATTAGCTAAAGGCTTGTCTCTTAGTTTATAAAGTGAGAATTTGTACAAAATTATTATAAAATAAACCAATACATTGTCAGTTCCCAAGATTATGTTGGTAATGTTGTTAAAAGTTAAAAGCTTTCATAAAAAGAGGACTGTCATGTTGGGTAGGAGCGCAAACAATCCATCTCTTCACCCCTTGAAAGCAAACACACTAATGATTCA